TTTCTGAGAAATTAAGATGCATGCCAAGAGGAATCTGATTTTTGGCGAAACAAGAGGAAAAAATACCACAAAGATAATCATTAAAACTTTATATATATGTGTGTGTGTGTGTGTGAGTTTGTGTGTATGTGTGTGTGCGTGTGTGTGTGTATGTGTGTGTGTTAAATTTATGAAACATTTATTTATTATTGATAGAAATTTTAACTAATATGAAACATAGCATCGAAACTTTTTAAAAAATCCTGCACACTTCAGTGCTTGTGAGAAATAATTAAGATAATACCCATATGATCCATTTTGCCCTTGAGTGAACACACTGAACGCAAGATCTTTTCATTATTTATTTTCCCTTCAGATAACATTTTTCAATCTATCAATACATTACTTTGTTAGTTTTTAGATCGGAAAGTGTGTTTGGCCTTGAAAAAATTGTTACCATGATTATCAGATTTCAATTTTAAATTTGGAAATAATTATTTCAAATAAACATATCAAATTAAAAGTTTAAAAACGTATGTAAGCTTATTTTAAAATAAAACGAAAAAACAATTATTTTAAAATATTTTATGAAACATATACAAAATTAAAATTTTTGCCACTAAATCTTCATCACTTAAGCTTCATTAAAAATCTCAGCATTTATAAAGTCTTGTGAACAACATTAACAACATGCCATCATAGCGTTTACCATCATCATTCCCATCATCATCATCGCCATCACAGGTTACAACATTAGCATCTTCATCATCATCATCACCATCATCATCATCACAATCATCATAAGCAATAGCATCATCATCAATATTTTCATCACCATCATTATAATAAGCTATAGTAATGTTGTCACTTTACAAAACAACTTCATCACTACCAATATTTTGACATCATCATCTTTACTCACTTTATATCGGCAATATTTTTCTTCTTCATTACATATCATTATATATCGATATCATCTACACTCCTAGCGGTATCATCAATATAAAAAAACTGTATCTCATAATCATAGCTAGCAGAAACTGAAAAAATATATTTGTTATTTTTTTGGCCAGAAATCATTTGGTACGTGTCGTCACATAGAATGCAATAAGCCGAACTATCCTACAATATAACAATGAGGGATCAATATTTACCAAAACGAGTCGTCGGCTGAATGCTATTTATTAACGTTCTGGCAAATGCATTAAAGGTGTAAAAAGTTTTTTGATGGAAAAATGTTTTGTTGCTTAGAATGTGAAAAATTTTTATTTTTTTATTCACAAATTTTGTTCGCTGATCAATCATTATTTGAACAAACAGTCAGGAACTTTTTTCTAAAATTCATAAATCAATTCATAAATTTCATTTATCAATCAATTAAATAATTTCTGGAAAAATCATCTAAAAAATAGATATTCAACAAAAATTTTAGTCAATAATTCCAGCAGATGTTTTAATTTTTTAAATGTCAACTTATCAACTTTTTAAGCACTGATAAAATTTAATCAACCAACAAAACCAACCAATCAAACACTTCTACCCTCATCATCCATCCAACCAATGACAGTAGAAGGCTTGTAATTTCAGGAACCAATCAAATAACTAAATCAACATAGACATAACAATCGCGATGACTCAATCCATCTAAAATTATTATTCATGGCTAGTTAACTGCCGCATTTTGGCGGGCTTTTTCGACAGCAACTTGATAGTGGCGGGAAAACATTTACGAATTTTTGTGATCACGCACGCTTCAAAAATTAGCTCAATACTGCGGTCGGAATCAGGTTTATGGGGATATTGCTGACATTTTGCGTTGTTCCAAGTTAATTTTTCAAACATAATTGATTAAAATTAAGCGCTGTAATATCGTTTTCAATGTAATGCTAACTTGAATTTTAATAAAATTAGCTGTGTTGACGTTTTTTTACGTTTTTTTTTTAAATGGAATTTATCGATTCATTTTCGAAAAAAAAAGATTGTTTTTCAGCTCTTTTAAAAACGAATATAAACAGCACTAAATACCTACAACAAAATAAACGTCATGTGAATTTTTAGGTCATTTATAAATAACATAATATTAGATCTTGCGATCCATCAGATGTAATCTAGGTGAACGGTTGGCGGAAAACATCGCAGCCACTTATTCCGTCATATTTATCAGTGACGTCATCCTTATTCTTCTTCTTATCGCGCTCAATTTATTCTCTTCGATCATCATCGTTTCAAAACGCAGAAAAAAAATTCTGACAAATTGTGATGAATAACGTTGCAATCTCACTCATCGTTAACATCACTTGATATGTAATTTATACTGGCATTCATATTATCTAACCACCTTAAACACCAACGCAATCTGCTCACCATTATGACCATTATCACTCTCTTATAATCAGTTTAAATGAAATACAAAGTCAGAGCCAACAAATTAGAGTCATTCTCTTCTTCGTCGTCATCGTCAAATTCGTGGTCAAGTATCCAACAAGGCTTAAAATCGGCTCTACAATTGTCGTCATTATTGATGTCATAATGATCACCAAGTTCGTCATAAAGATCACCAAGATCGTCATCATCATCACCACGGCAATCACGTCATCATCATCAACGTCATCATTTTCGACACAGCAGCAGCAACATCAGTAGCGACATCATCAACGTCGCCAACAAACTTTCATTATAAATAAGCACGCAATTGGTGCGACAGTTAATCTTTATCATTTGATATATGTACACACACAACACACACACACACCCCTCCCATACACATTCTCTCTTTTTATTTCTCACACACACCACACACAAACACACACACCACTCTCATACACATTCTCTCTTTTTATTTCTTACACACACACACACACACACACACACACACAAACACACACACACACACACACACATGCACTTAATTTTTAAATGCATTCAATTTTTATCATTTGATTTATGTACACATGTTATAATGATTAAATACGTTTAGTTATGCGTAATGCGCTTAAATTGCTTGACGGTAATGTTTGTCATCTTGTATACACACTTTTCAAACGTTATAAAATAAATTGAGAAAAAGAAAGAGCGAAAAGGAGAGAGAAAGAGAAAGAGAGAGAGAGAGAGAGAGAGAGAGAGAGAGAGATAAATAGAAATAAAAGTGATGACAAAAAAAGTCGGAGTTAAAGAAGATAAACTGTTGATGCCAGATTTTTATTGGAAAGTTACATCAACAATTTCCACTAAGCCGGTTGCGTGTTTAGTTCGTTCACTTTTACTCATTTCATCCTTTTTATTCTGGTGGTGTTTTCAATGCTGCTACTGCTTGTTAATGTTATTTTTTATGTTTATTGTTGTTTATACAGTTTCTGTTGCATCTCCAGTCATGATGTTGATGATGATAATGACGAGAATGATGATGATGATGATAGTGGCGGTATTTGTAATTATGAAGAGTATGATTACGACGATGACGAAGATGGCGATGATGATGAAGGTGATGAAGATGACGATGACGACGATGATAAGGCTGAAGTGTGTATTGAAAGATCACGAAATGTGGAATGATTGTATTCATGGATGTTGACCACCAATGATTACTGCTCTGTCTACATTACGTCACATACACAATCGGTTTAAATAATGATGATGGTGACGACGACGACGACGATGATGATGATGTAGATGTTTAAGATTAAAACTTTAAGAAAATATAGTTTGATAATATGTCTAGGCATACCAATATGATTATGATGATGATGATGATGAGAATGAGGATGAAATGATGATGATGAAAAAATGATTAAATCGTCGTCCTCATCTCGTGATAATATCAAATTGGTGATAATAACGAAGTTGCCAGCAATGATGGTGAAGATGATGACGACGACGAGAATGGATGCAGCGCTAATGAAAGCAGTAAAATACACAATTGAAATGTTTCCTGGTACGACTGCAGGCAAATTGAATCATCCACACACTTCTACATATATATCTTTGTACGTACTACTACTATACACGCTCATACAAGGAAATCCATACGTACCTACCTTTATTCGCGTGTACGTACATGCGTAACTACAGATGGCTACATATATTAATTGCTGTACAATTTAATCAAAATTGTTGCCGTCGTAAAATGATTTGAACAATTGTGTAATAGTTTCATCGCATGGTGTGTTGAATGGCGATGAAGCGGCTATAGCTACTGTAAGGTCGAACAAACGCATTTATCTATCTTCCCACGTTCCGTGTCTAAATGTGCAGATGAGAGTTGGGCTAAGTTATTTATTACTACTCGCTTTCAATTGTTAAGTTTTTATTTATGATTTTTTAAAGCGACTTCATTTTTGCTTTTTTTTGTGTTTTTTTAAACCGTTAAATCACCGTGACGTGTTTAAAAATTTTTAAAATCATTTCGAATGATTTTGTGCAACTGTTTTTTTTTAAATGATATTTCATGCTGCGAGTTTGCGTGTGATGAACTATCATTAAACAAAGATTCCTATCCAATCAATAGAATTGTTGATAAAAAAGTTATACTACACCAAAAATATAATGAATAAATAAATATATAAAGCCAAACGTAACGTACTTTAGTCTGCAGGTGAGAAAAAGCGGCAAAAAATGAACGAATTTAACAACAACTTATTGAAACTCGTAAAACGTGTGTGCGTGTGTCCGCGTGTGTTCTTGCGTGATTTATTTTCTATGCTTTCGTGTACAATTGTGAAGAGTGCAAATGTGTTAAAAAGTCTTTTAACAATTGTCTTCATCTCTTTCCTTTATTCTTTCACTCCATCCTTTCAACACCTTTTCCTCGCTTGGATTTGAATTTAAAATGGGCCAAGCCGATATTTATTATCATTTTATCGCCCATGCAACCATAGACATTTAAATATTTTATTGCTGTTCATTTTCTTTTGAGTTTTTTTTTATCTAAAGTTTTCTGAATTTTTACATTTATTGCATATATAAATATACATATACACGGTGCTTATATGTTGTGTATGTGTGTGTATGTTTGTGTGGATATATTACGTCGCATCTTTCATTGTACTGAAATAAGATTGCTTCTCGATTTTTTGCGAATTGTTTAACCCTCTACTGCATGAATTAAAAAAATGTGTTTCAATTAAAACTAAAAAAATATTTTTGTATTGGTATTAGATTTCCCATTATGGAAAAATTGTTTTTTAAAAAAAATTTTTCATTAAAGAATAAACGACCAAAATGTATGGAGTGCCAATTGGCATCTTCATGCACAACACAACCAATTGAATGCATTTTTATTGGTATAAAAGATTTACAAAATTATTATTTATTTTGCATAAATTTGTCTAGATATATATAAGTTAGACGAGTAAATCATTGTTATTCTGTGTGAAAACACCTGAAACAGTTTTTGTCCTTTGTAAAGCACAAACTTATTTTGTACTTTTCACAAGACACTCGTGATTGACCATTACAACCAGGTAAACGGCAACGCAATCTTTCAACGGTCCAAAATGGCCAGTGGATGGTGTCATCTGTACGAACATCAGCAACTGGCACAGACTGTCGATGTCGTGCCTTCTTTGTGGCAAACTGAAGTTGGGACTCAATGCTCGGTCGACCCGGAGTTCTCTTCCTATTTGGTCCTTTCCTAGCTTTGCACAAACCTGCAATAAGATCAGAGATTGAAACACTTTTTTATGATTGCATGTTTGAACTACAAAAATATTTAAATTGATATTAGTCGTTTTACTTACCTTCTGCAATATCAGCCTTAAATTCCGCCAATCTGATCATTCCTGAAACATTGTTTTGCTGCAAACGAGCTCGCCTATATAGTAGCCATGCATTCACAACGGCCATGTCAAGACAATGCCAAAACAATCTGTGATACTATTTTTTGGATCTTATGGTGATTCTGCAAAGTCCCATGAGACTTTCAAGCAAATAAACACCACCCATATGTTGATTGTAAGTGGAAATTATCTGTAGGCAGTCAATCTCCTTTCTAATTTTCTCTGCTGAAAACCATCTCTTCACCGTTATTCTGGGCTCAGTACCCAGGTAAGTCGAAAGAAGATTGACCACTTTGTTGTCATACCACTGCACAAATGTAATGGTGACACCATCTACAACAGTTGTGTACTGGGCCATTGATCCACGACCAGCCTTCTTCATATCGTTATCTGTTTTGGCTGAGAGACCCGGCAACCTGTTCACTCTCACAGTTCCTATGTTAGAACACCAGTTGAATTGCTTGGTGTTCTAAATATACAAGCAAATCAATGCTTGTAAAATAATTGTCAAAATATAGCTTGTGTCCAACAGGTGGAATAGTCCGTAATCTCGGAGACGGCAAAGTGGTTTTTCCAGCAATATTTATTTATGGTCAACAGTTTAAAGAGACTCATAAGTTTCTCCCACGGTACAACTAAAAGTTAAACTAAATAATAAAAGCTTATAATAAAAGTTAAAAATAAAAATTTTAAACCAATTTTTACTAGAAAAACCACAAAACCTCTAAAAAGTTATAAAAATATGATACATTACAAAATGTGTAACAAAATTTTAAACGTATCTGTTGAAAAGATAGTTTCACTTTTAAAACAAATTATTAATTTTTAGAAACTTGCTTCCAGAGGTAACTTGCCGTTGAAAAAAATTTTCAATGTTAAAACGCTGGTAGGGCGCTTCCAGTTATATAATTCCATGATTTTTACTTCATAATCGGCGGATAGATCTATTTAGTTTTAGAAATTGAACTATAACATTAAAAATTATTAATTATTCTTTTCTTCGTTAAACGTTTTTCATTCATGTTTTTCAATTTTAAAGTCATTAACATTTAAAAATTAAAATTCTTCAAAAAACCGCTTATTTTTTAAATTTTTACATGTATATATATTCTTGTATTAAAAGAAGAATGCAAGCTTTTGAAATGCATAATGAGAACAACTATTTTTATTTCGTTGTTGTTGTTGTTGTAATTATTATTATATTGTTGTTATTGTTGTTCGTTGATGATGGTTGTGATGATGATGATCGTCATCATAGTTAACAAGATTAACAGTATAACATACTTAAAATACATTGACAGAAATGACATGAATGTTTATTGTACTGCGTATATATGATGGCAGTATGTATGTATGCGTGTATGTAAGTGTATGTTTGTATGTATGTGTGTCTGTGTCTCTTTATGTATACATGTTCGTATTCGAGATTTTAGTAAGAAAAGAAAAACACAACAGTTGCTTTTATTTGACATCATCAAAAGATGAAAAGTGACGAAATTAAAATATGTTAAACGTCAATTTTTTAAAAAGTTCAGATTTTAAACAAACAAATATAACAAAATATCGATCGATAAAAAATAATTATCACGAATCATGAATATTTAGTAAGGACAGTTCACAGCATATCATAATGACTAAATCAACATACCAAACAGAAATTATTCATACATGCATATATACAAAGTAAATCAGGAAATATCCAAAAGTTATATAACGAAAATAAGAAACTAGAAACCATTCAACATTTTACAAATAAATAAATAGACATTATTAAAAAGATTGTTCAAAAATGGTAAAATTTAAGGCGACGACAAAAAAAATTGTAGTTTGTTTTGTTGGTGTTGTGTGGTGCTAAGAAGCGAAAACAAACACACCACAAAAAAAAATATTAAAAAGTCGCAAGAATAGTAGTCAGTCACCTACCTACAATTAAATTACTCTTAGGGCCCTAGCTTACCTGTAATGATAACTCAACTCATTTATTTTACATGTTTTAACGTTTTAATTTTACTTGAAGCTTTTAATTTATGTTAATGTTAATATTTTACTTGAAACTTTTTAACTAATGTTAAGCCCTAGCCTACCTACAGTTGTTCAACTCATCTCAATCCCTAACTTACCTATGAATTAAATTAAGTCCGGTAAAGAAAATAGAAAGTTGAAGAGAAACATAACAACAACGACACCGAATGAATGGATGTTGTGTATGTGTGTGTTGTATTTATGCGTGTGCGTGTATGTAAATGTGCGTGCGCGTACCCTCCAAAAACTTCTTCACCCACTACGGACGAACCTCCATTGCACCGACCATCATCTGACAAGCACCGAGGAAATGAATTTTACCGGATACTGAAAAACAAAATTGAAAGAAAAAGTTAATTTTTTTAAATAGAAAACAAGCCATTGAAAAAAAGTAAGAAGCAACTTATCTTACCATGAGATTACCATCATGAAACGTGCTGACTCCCACCACAACCCACCTCTGATCATTCTGTAGACAAATTTTTTTATTGGCTTAGTAGTAAATGAATGTTAAAACGAAAGAACAAACGAATAAATGATTGAGCGAATGATTGAGTGATTGAATGAATTAATTAACCAATCTATGATTCAATGAATGAGTCAATTAATGGATGAATGAAAGATTGTGTGACAAAATGAATGAATGAAAAAAATAAAAACAACAAAACTAAACCATACTTCAAAAATCGTCGTTATTGTTTTCTTCGAGTTGTTATCGGAACGATCATCATGAGACCACCATCTGAAACGTGCTGACGCCCACCACTGCCCACCTCTCATCAGTCTGTAGACAAGTTATTTTTATTAGCTTAGATGTAAATGAATGTTAGAATCTTAGAAGCAAAAAATTATAAAATGGAAATAATGGCAAATAAATAATATTTGAAAATAATA